TACGAGAGTGTAATTGGTTCGATCTCTTTTTAAACAATACAAAATTAACTTTTGTAAAAAAAATGGATATAGGTTGTTACTATAATTATGCATGGAGGAGTAATAACCACATGTAAATCGTCGGATCTGCTTCGCCCAACCAGAAGTTGGTAATCACCAGTTCTCCGTCTCCCATTAATTAAAGGTGGACGACAAATAAACTTTAGCTAAGCACTCATGCTAAATGTTAGATATCCTGAATGGCGAATGGTTAAGACTAGGCCAAGACACTCGGGACGAGAGCAAAAGATTAAAGTACTGAGCATAACAATAAACTTTAGCTAACCACTCAGATCACTTCTACTATACTATAAAGTATTGGTGTTTTAATGTACAACCTAAAGTTGTATCATAATGTTAAATGTATAAATTTAGGTTGTACCATAAAGAAATTTGTACTATTATGTTATGACACAACTTTACAATTTGAAGTTGTACCATCACATAAAGGTTAAAGTTCAAGTTGTACCATAAAAGAATTTGTACAAAAAGTATAGGTACAATCTGAAGTTGTACCATAACGTTAAAGATACAATTTCAAGTTGTACCATAAAGGCAAAACATTATAACACCAATGCTATATATATCATTGTAAAATTCCTCTTCATACTATTCATTCAAGTTAACTCAAGTTCGAAAGTCCTATTCATTTAGACACTACAGATTTTACAGATGACAAGAGCCATCACGAGAGAAATAAACCATATTTAGCTAGGGAGATGGGGTAAATAATGAGAACTATTTTGTACTCATGGGTATGCTAAGTGTAGCTGGTTCAAGATAGGGTCATTAATCACTGGTTACTCATCCATCAGTAACCACACGGGAGCCGTAGATTTGAGAATGGAGCAATCGTGTGGCTGGGCTGGATGTGGGATGGGGAGGGGCATTTTTGTCCGTTTTTGTATTTTTAATTTTTTTTTATTCATTCCGCATTTCAATTGCTGACTTTTTAATGAAAGAGAGAGAATTACATTTTCTCTGCAACTCAACTTTCTTCCTTCTCTCTTCCTTTCTTTCAATCTCTTTCCAGATCCTTTCTCTTTCTCTATTCCTTCTCTCTTACTTTTTCTTTCACAATCTCATTTTCAAATTTAGATCTGCTCTCTTCCTTCTTCATTTTTTTTTTGTAGCAATCGACGAATAAAAATTGTAACCACTCTCTTTCATTGCATTTCTTCTCTTCATCAACTCGTTGACCTCAATTCCGATCTTTCTCATTTTTTTGGCATTTTGGTGTTCTTGATTGAGAAAGAGGAAATGAGAGGCATCAGAAGACGATTTTTTCTCTCCCTCATTCTGTGTTTTTCCTTTTAGATAATATATATTGATATTATGACTCTATACCATATGGTATTGGGTGGTAACGAAATATATATTGATATTACCACACTATACCCTATGGTAATGTATGGTATTGCGTGGTAACGAAATATATATTGATATTACCACTCTATACCATATGGTATTGTGTGATATTACCATACTATACCATATGGTATTGTGTGGTAACGAAATATATATTGATATTACAACACTATACCATATGGTATTGGGTGGTAACGAAATATATATTGATATTACCACACTATACCATATGGTATTGGGTGGTAACGAAATATATATTGATATTATCATACCATGTGGTATAGTCTTATTTAATACCAGTCAATACCATATGGTATAGACTGGTAATAACTGGAAATTTTTTTATGTCCAAAAAATATCAAAGTGGATATCATTTTTGAACGGCACAATTAATCTGATCTAATTGTGCAAAAAAAATAAATTCCGACTTAAAACGAGTGAGAAATCGTCCTTTAAAGATTAAGAGAAGAAAAATTAAAGCTTTTTTTAGGAGAGAGAAGGAGGTGTTGATGTGGTCCGCTCAAAAGTCAGCGTCAGTATTAAAATAGGTGTAAGTGTAATTTTACCTTACTGCCCTTCCGCATTTAATTTAAATAAAAAAAGAGGACTGTTACGTGGAGATCAGAGAAGGAGTTACTGATGAGTTACTGACCCATCAGTTACTGACACGATCCGCTCCCAGTGTAGCTAAGAGTCGGATATCTTCTAATTAAGATATATCAGTATCCTGGACGAACAAGGATTTATCTAGTTGTACTACTAGCGGTGTATAACCTGAAAATATCATATTCGATTATATTAAGTAATACATGACATTAAAAGCTAATCTAGTTCACTCTTATTTATTAAAAAAAAAGATACCAATATCTTTGACCCTGCTAGAGAATAATATTACAAGTGATAATACATTTGTAGAATTTGATGAAGCGGAAGATGAAATAACATGAGACAAACGATTTTATGTGGTATCCTAGATCAATTGATTGATCGAGACTAATCCACGGTGAGCTCGGAAGAGTTCACAACTGATTTCTTATTAGGTTTACATTTTGACGGCTTGCTTACAACAATCTCGTAGCTAAACTTATATAGAGTAAAACCCTAATCCAACGAATAAGACGAGGCCCAACAAGGCCCAATACTAACACGGTTTAAGTAACTGCAATACTCCCCCTCAAGCGAAGACATGAATGTCAAGAATGTTGAGCTTGAAGAAGGAAATGTGAAGAACAAGCATGATGGCTTGAACAACAAAACTCGAGATGAATAACATCTCGGACGAGGTTGATTGGAGACGACTAGCTCTCTCTGAACAACCTGATGATGGAGACGGTTGACTGCGTCTCTTGAACTTGAACACACTTGGTGCATCGCGGCCGACTTGATGACTGAGCTAGTCGACCGACGTATGTTGACCTCCTATTCTCCCCCTCAAGCTGGAGCATGAACATCGTGAATGCCCGGCTTGAAAAGCGATGAATGGTTCATATGTGCCCATTAATGAACCGGAAGAGGGGACAACCATTTCTTGGATCATGAATGCCAACTTGACAATGAAGGGACGATGACTTCTCTGATCGTACTACCTTTTGAACGCCAGCGGGACGACCATTTTATGGAACGTGAATGCCTCAAATCCATACTTGACTATATTTGATGACAAAAGCCTGCAAAATGAAATTGCTAGCCCAAAATATAATAGAATAGCCCATAAGAACCCTTACCATATCAAATGTGAAAGCCCATAAGAGCTATTTCGGCAACATTTGGAGAGTGAATGTCAGCATGCCCAATTTTGAATTTTGGGCGGCCCATTCGTGGGAGGGGAGAAGGTATGGCCCGTAGGGTTGGGAACATTCTCATTTTCCATTCCTCCTTCCTTTCTCAAGTGCAATCTGCTGTTCCCCTTTCCTTTTCTTCTTCTTCCTTCCACGGTGGCGCGACAATGAAAGATGCAGCAGCACAGGACACCGTAAGGAAGAGAACAACAAGGAAGAATGAATGGCGGAGATGATGATGGCGCATCGATTGGATCTGACGGCGGACTGGACTTCGCCTATGAGTGCGAAAGATTTGATGATGGCGCCATCTTCGCTGGATGTTGGCGGACTCGCGGTCGCGTCACGTATGTTGACCAATTTCCACCTTGAACACAAGGCAGACACCCACAAATCGATCTCCAAACTTTAATTGACATGGTGATAACCATCTAATTCCTTGGACCGGACGAACGCCTACCAACCATTCTCCCAATATGGAGAAGAGAAGACCCGACCGCAACGACGAGAGCACCGGAATCGGAGTCCAAGACTGACAAGAATTAATCTGGTCGTGTGAACTGGAGACGAACATGAGCTTGACAGAGACTACAAAACTGACGACCTGCCGACGATGCTGAACCCTGGGGATAGCGACGCGCTTGACGCAGGATGTGAGCCTCTTGAGGATGGTGCTTTCTGGCTCCAACTCCAATTACTTGGACGACGGAGCGATGGCGGCTGACCTTCCGTGACAATTACTGGCTAAATCCAACTTTAGAGAAGAGGCGATGACCTCGGAAGATGGCCGTGACACCGCCACAAGCCTAAGACGTACGACCGCGACTGATTGACGGAGCAACATTCTCCCGGCGACGACTCGGGACTCATGTTGGCGGATTTGCGAGACAACCTCGGCACAATTGACATTGAACCGATGACGTCGATGCGGCCACGGAGAGGGTAACGTATGTGGACTGCGGAAGCGGAAGCTCAACACCCTAGACAAGGATGGAGTTTAGCTCTGATACCATGTAGAATTTGATGAAGCGGAAGATGAAATAACACGAGACAAATGATTTTACGTGGTATCCTCGATCAATTGATTGATGGAGACTAATTCACGGTGAGCTCGGAAGAGCTCACGGCTGATTTTTTATTAGGTTTACATTTTGACGGCTTGCTTACGACAATCTCGTAGCTAAGCTTATATAGAGTAAAATCCTAATCCAACGAATAAGACGAGCCCCAACAAGGCCCAATACTAACACGATTTAAGTAATCGCAACAACATTAAAGTACTAAAATCACAGGCCAAGAATTAGGACTAATTGTTCGTGTTTGTTGAGCAAAGTATAAATTATGTTTGATCGAATGCAAAGGCTAAAATAAGCCTGTGAAATTTGTATTGTTCTTTGGTAAATAAGCTTATGGAACTATTCAGCCCAATAATGAGGGATCCTTTTGTCGCCTAGAATTTACCAAAAGCGGTAAAGGGGAAAAGAAAAAACAACAATCATTTCAATACCAATTAGCAGTTAACGGCTTAGTAGGCCTCCTCATTATTATAATATAGAGCAACAACAATACCAGTGATTAGTCACCGACTCACCGGGGACTTATTCCCAAATCCATCCGACAACACGAGACCATAAATTAATTAATATTGCTACATCATAAATATCAATAATACTAACAACAAGCCAACATATATATATTATATTATATTATATATATGACATAGATAGAGCTCGCTAGCTAGCTAGCTATATAAGCCTAGATTAATTTTGTACTTCAAATATATTATCTATATATGCATCAACGTCAGATATATTATTACGAATAATACCGGACTCCTCCTTCTCCAGCTTGACCCACAAAATAGTCCGGCGGCGGGAACATCAGCTGGGAGCCACCCGCTTCTTCCGGATGGGTGCAGTAAGAAGTATCCGGAGATCTGGTGAAGTAAAAGGAGGCCGCCGGGTCCTCGTTGTAGTAGTGCACTTGACGATTGCGATACTGACGGCCCATGTCGGCGGCAGCATGAGTAGTAGTAGTAGTAGTATTGTTGATTAGGGATTGGTGGATGAGGATCTGGGCCTTGAGGAAGTTGACGTAGTGAATGGCCTGGTCCAGCATGGAGACGGTGTCCATCTTGGCCCCGCCGGGGACCAAGCTCTGCAGGATCTTGAAGCGGTCGCTGATCCGGTGGCGCCTCTCCCTCGCCGCCACGCTCTGCGGGTCTGTCGACAGCTTGCAGCAGTAGTTGCCGCCGCCGCCGACGGCCTTCTTCTTGGGCTTGTGCTTGTTATTATGACTGACGTTGGAGGTCGTCGGGTTTGTAGAGGTGGAGCTAGCAGTGACAGTAGCGGTGGCGAAATAGTCCATGGTCGAGAGACAAGTGAAGTGAAAGTAATTAATATGTGTGGGGAAAAGGGAAGGGGAAGGGTCGCGGTGGTGCAAAGGAAATGGAAGGCGGGGCGGGGGCTATATATATTTAGAGGAAGAAGGGGTGACGTCACATGGGATCAGCAGGCAGACAGGGCCACAGGGGTATGAAATGAAATGATGATCTTTGGGCTGGGCGCGGGATACGGGGTGTTTTCTTTTCATTTCATTCTCATCTCTTCTCATTTCAGTTGTGGTGGGGACGGGGACTATACAGTGTTGCGTAGCTACTAGCTAGCTAGGGGCCCTGCAGGCAGGAGAGGGATTTGGTTTGGTGGTGGTTCGTTCGGCTAAGGAGATCGCAACTTGCTTTCTTTGCCTTCTTTTTGTTCCCCATTTCTTTGCCCATTGCAGCACACTTTTGTGTTTTTGTTTTGGTTGAATTGAATGCACTTTGATTTTTTTGGGTTTGATGCCTCTCTCCCCCTCTGCGTGACCCACATTGAAGCGAAAATTCCGCTGCAGATATATGGTGGGACGGTTTGGAACTTGTAAAACTAGTGTTCTTGCAGTTGGAAATTCTGTTTTCTGTTTTGATTATGAGGTTTTTTTTCCTGCAACGGAAAGGAATAAAATTATTTCGGATTAATTACTGAAAGATGCAATTTTAATTAGGGGGTAATTGTTTTTGCTAACGTACGTGAATTTTTTGGTTGCTATAAGTAGGGTCTCGTCAGACTCACAATTCACACAACTCAGAGAGCAGAAACACGAGAGGGTATTCTTCAAAGAGCTTTGGTTTTGCCGTTTTGGTCTAGTCATTAGTCAAAGGAAGTGGTTGTTTTATTCTAAGAGGAGACTGTCGTCATAGCTCCTTTGACCAATTCCTCTAGCTGGCGAAGTGGCAATCGATGAATACGGTCCACAACATGAATAACATCCATAAGCTGGTGAAACACGTTGTTGATTGGAATTTTGTTGGTGTTTGATAACAACTCGTTTCCCCCGAGTTAGGGTTTTGCTTGTAACTCACAAGCGAGAGAACGACTTTGACTTCGAAAGACCTTTTCTTATTAATTCGATAACCAGCACTAACATCGAACATACATATTTATAGGGCAAAAACCCTAATACCCGATTAGGCCACTCAGTCTCTACCCCTAATCCGCCACCCCTCAGAAGTCCAACTCCTCGTGAATTACGTACTAGGCCCTAACCTACAACATAATACTAACCGAACAAGCCCAAATCCATAACATAATAATAAAACGTAAACTAGAAATAACAACTAAGCCCGCTAGACTACGAGTTGCTATCAGTGTTTGAGTTTCTTGTCACAACTTGTTAGAACACAAGATGATATATAAAAACCTATATTAAAGGAGCCTTGTGTTTTTCGTTACGACGACAATTAAAGGAAGGGTGCAGTGCAGCTGGGGGGCCGGGTTTTGTCCTCTGAAATCGAAGCTGATATGCTCGCAGTTGTGCCAAAATCCGAGGAGTAGAGGGTCAAAAATGTTGCCTGGGGGTCGGTCTCCCTTCGATTGTACGAATTTTAAGTGCTCTCCTACTGTAGATGTTCCCTCTTTTTGGTCGTCTCTGTTTGATTACCGTTTCATTTATACGCTTTCCTTTATTAATCATGAAAACCAAAAAGCAAAGGAAGGCAAATATGGGTTTAAGGTGGTCTTGTTTCAATCAGGAGCTCTTCTTTTAGAGAGGAAATTTTGTAACAAAGTTACGATTTGTTATTATAGCAGTACTGCATTCGATTCGAACCAAACCAGCGAATCTAAGTAGCAGATCCACCCCTTTTTCAACAACATAATTGATAAAGCATACTCCTCGATCTAGGCTCTAACGCCAACTTTTCATGCAGAAAATAGTTCCTGGCTATATACGCAAGAAAGGCGTCTCATGGGCCTAATTCACAGGCGGCATCCTAATTCCTTATTTGCATTATATATGACTGTAAATAATCTATCTTGTTTATGAATAATTTTTTTCCCACCTTTTACTTCAGGGATCCACTACAATAACTTGCACATATAATATATCAATTTATATGACTTGAAAAGATGTACTCCATTAAAATAGCCAACAATCAATGTAAGCCATACATTACAAAAATCCAGAGGGGGAAAAATCAACTGGCGAATGCTCGGTTGATCTTCATCGAAATTTTTGCCGCATGAGTTTTTCGCATAGGATAGGATACATAACCACTACTAATGCAATTATGCAATAATCAGATGCTCCCTTGATATTGTATAGGGTTAAATCTTATGGGTAATATTAAAAGGCTTATTTCTCTTTTTTTTGATTAACTTACATCTCTTTTGTTTTATCTCATATTTTGAATCGTTTGCACAAAAGAAACAGATTAATTGTGACCTACAAATCAAGTTCATTTTAGGGTTAATACCTTATTTTGGCCCGAACTATGACCATATAATCAACTTTGGTACATGGTTTCAGAAATTAACATCCTGGCTTAAACTATGCAGCATATAGACTAAATTGGCCCGACACATGCTTTGACGGTCAATTTGGATGGTCAACACCATTGACCGTTAGTCAACACGCCACGTCATTCCCTAGTCAGCCTAAAAATCATTAAAAAATTGAAATTCAAATTATTTTTCTAATTATTATTATTTATCATTTTCAAATCAACCAAAAAATAAAATTCAAAAAATGTATAATCAATTTTATGTTTTGTCTTTTGGGATATTTGAAAATGATAAATTTTATAAATTAAAAAAATTATCAAATTAAATTTTATAAATGTAGAAAATATAAAAAACATGAACCAAAAAAAATCTAATTCAAATTATTTCTAAATTTTTATTATTTATCATTATCAAATTAAATAAAAAATAAAATAAAATTATAAAAACATAAAATAAATTTTACATTTTTTGGTAATTTTAAAATGAACAATTTTATAAATTATCAAAAAAATTATAGATTTTTTAATCACCCAAAAAAAATATTATTTTTTTAAAATTTACCATTTTCAAATGTTCCAAAAGATAAAAATAAAATTTTATATTTTTTTTATTTTAATTTTTGGTTAATTTGAAAAGGATAAATAATAATAATTAGAAAAATAATTTGAATTTTATTGTTTAATGATTTTTAGGCTGACTAGGCAATGACATGGCGTGTTGACTAACGGTCAATGATGTTGACCGTCCAAATTGACGGTCAAAGCATGTGTCGGGTCAATTTAGTCTATATGCTGTATAGTTGAGGCCAGGATGTTAATTTCTGAAACCATGTACCAAAGTTGATTATATGGTCATAGTTCGGGCCAAAATAAAGTATTAACCCTTCATTTTATTCACAAACCTATGGAATACAACCTTGGTGTTCACCAATGTACTACTTGGCCTATCTAAGTTATACTCCTCCTTGATTGTGGTAGCTAGTGTTGAAGTTTGATACACACACCAGTTACACAAGATTAAAAATTATGGTTATTTATTACGTGACAATTTATCATTTGTGTTACACAAATCCTTCGGAATGAATTCTCCCTTCACATAACTAATTTTCGTGTTTATTATGTAAAATAGATCATCTATTACATTAGGGTTACATAATATCATTGTACGAGTATTACGATAGAATAAGGATAGTGCCTAAAAATTACCAAATGAATATTGTATTTCTGGAAATTAGATTTTTAAAAAGATATAAAATATGTAAAGAGAAAAAATATTTCTCCAATATATCAAGCAGACTTTCTTTATATACAAATTTGAGCAAAATCTCACCCAGCATCCAGTTTTCATCAAATATAATGTAGCTAGCTAGCGTGATTAACAACACAGACTAAAGGAAATTAAGTAGTTAATGGCCGTTGTTGTGGTTGGTTTTTTATGGTTGTAACTGAACTTGAATAAAGGACGATTTGGCACAGGCGTTGAGACAGGAAGACAAATTGGAGCAGAAGCACATGTTGAATATCTGCCATTTCGCGAGGGAGGGGGGAGCTGCTGGCATAGGCGGGGGTTGGACAATGAACAACAAAATCTAGATAGGTAATTGTACGTACCATAGTTCTTTCTAGAAGATAATTAATTAGTCACTGTACTTTCTTTTTACTTCACGGATCTGGTATTGAATGATTATAAATCGAGGGAATTACTATAACAGTTAGGAGAACTACAAATTTGCTGAAATCCAATTCACTGTATCCGCGATAATGTCGATTATGTTACACTTTGAACTCTGTCGGATTAGAAAATTTTAACGCAATCGATGAACATTGGATCATACCGACATTTCATAGTTGTTAGATACACATAGTGACGTCATTTAATAAATTATTATCGTTACCGACAACATTAAAACATCATGATGTCCAAATTCACATTAGGATCACATTAATACTAACAAGGGGTGAGATACAAACTATAAATTATTAATTGTATCAAAATCATAAATTATTGATACAATCTTACTAATTTGCTATGAACTTATTATAAATGTTAGTCAATTTTCTTAATGGCTAGTTTGAGAATTGCTTTTGCGAGTTAACCCGTAACCCAACTGCACCCATTCGCCACCCACCCAACCCAACCCGCATAAGTATGTGGGTGGACTGCGGGTCACATCTATTCTAACCCGCTAGTAAGCGGGTGGGTCGATTTTAGACCAAAATCCACCCAACCCGCTCATTGCCCACCCCTAATACTAACAACCATGTACTTCCAACAACAAACAATCATTGTATCCTCCATGGTTGAAACTCCAAATTGATCTACTGAGCAAATTGCTAGCTTTGTTCATTTTTACGTAGGCTGTGGATAGTGGCATAGCCAGAACTTTATTCAAGGGTGTGCCATAATTTTTTTTATATTTACAGTTTCATATATTATATTGTGAAATTATTCTAAAACTATATGAATTGGTCAAATTATCAAGATTTCCCACATAATGTATCCCACCAATATCCATTCATAATTTCAATTCACTTTATGCGAAAGGCT